ATATTTTTATATGAATAAATATAAAATTATTATATTTTTTAATGTATTTTAATTCAAAGAATTTAGATTAAGTTAAAATAATTTCGTCATTAATAAAAAACTAGTTTCGTCATTTCAGTTTCATCAATTTTGTCATATTAAGAAAGGTAATTTTGTCAGGTATCACTAGTTGTATCTGACTTTCAGGGCAGCATTTTTTATTTCAAATTCAACAAATCAGATTTGAATTTAAATCTGAATCTGACGGATCAAATCTGAATCCAAATTTGAATCTATCAGATTGAATTAAATCCAAATCTGAATCTGATCCAGATCTAACAGATTGAATCAAATTAAAATCTGGATCTGGATCTGATTTGAATCTGATAAATCTGATTCGATCCAATCTGTCAGATCCAGATCAGATTCAGATTGAATCAGATTTTTGCAGTATCTGTACTTTGACTTCAAAGAGTAATTACTGTACTATTCTGAAATTAAACAACCCCCAAAAATAAGCAACCCCCTAATTAGTATAGTTCTGAAAATAAGCAACCCATAAATTCCTATAATAAAAATAATTAAATATAATAAAAAACATTTAAAAAGTACTAAATATAATTGAAAAATGTATTTTATTAATATTTTTATGATAAATATAAATTGTTTTATTTATTATATTATTTTTACTAATTGCTATCACTATTATTGATATCGTTGTCATCAATAATGTCATCACCAATAACATTATCATCAGAATCCTCACTATCGTTAATTTTATTGTTTAAGAAAGTTGAAATCTTACAAGTCTTAAAAGATTCCGCAACTATTTCAGCTGAAATTCCTTCTTAAGCACATTTGACCCAACTACAAACATCAGATAATCTAGCATGACAAAGATTTCCTGATGTGGTTACATAGTATCACCTCCTGCCATCCAAATATACTATTCTTTACAAAGATTGTTCTTAAATAGTTTATTTATTATTACGTTGAGTGGTTGATATAAGCTAGTTAAACCATTCAGAATAACCACTAAATTAATATCATTATCCTAGAATTTTATTTAAATTGAGTCTTCAAGATGATTCCTGAAAGAATCGTATATCATTTATTAAAATATTATTAGTCCTTAATTTGTTGACATATTCAATATATTTCTTCATTAAATTAATATCTATTTATGCATTTTGTTAAAACTAAGTAACAATACCAGGTGGAATTTGTTCGCTATATGGTAACTGTTTTCCTTTAAAAATACAAATGGGTGGAAATTTTGTACTATCTACAAAATAAAAAATTAGATAAGTAAACCAAAAGAAAAAATTTTTTTAATGATTCTTTATCTATAACGCATGTTAATACAATTGTAAATCAATTTTTTCATTGCCAGTACCATGAATATGAATTGTTTTTTTACCTATACTATTAATAGTAAAATTTCCTGCTATATCAAATCAGACAGGAGTTTCATTTATATTGAGAAATTTGGACAACTCAAATGATTTTTCAATTTTAAGGTGATTAACAAACTGATAGAAGTTTTTTAATAACTCCTCAATTTGTGATGAAAGTTTTTGTGAAACTTTAGTATGTCACCATCAAGATAGATTATATCTTCTCATGAATGCAAACATCCAATAGCTTAATGTTTTAAATATATTTGTTGAATGCTAATACAAACTTACTATAGCAGGTTTATTTAAAATATATAACATTTAACTCATGTTATTCCATATGTAACACCTAATTCCTACTTTCTTTGCTCAATGATCCAATCATATAGTTTTTTTTCAGCTTCTGGGTAAAAGCTTTTTTGGCCAGAACTAACTCATTTGCTTTTTGATTTAGTTCATTTACACATTTTTCATTTGACTTAACCTAGTGGCTAACCATACCTTTATCAATTTCAAAAACCTTACTACTGCAATTATTTCATTTTCCTTAGCATAAGTAACAACTTGTCTTTTTTGCTCAACAGAATATGAGTTGCAGTGTTGTTTAACAGTATTTTACTAACAGCATTTTTTAATAGCAGCTCTTTTTTTGCTTGCTTTTTTTTGTGATGCCATCTCATAAAATAAGTTTAAACAGGTTTAAAAATAACAGCGTAATATTTGTTTCGCACATGAATAATTAAATGCGTGACAATATGATATGTGACATTTATTATGCGTTTTCTTATTTTTTTACTTCAAAATAAAAGTATCCAAAATTAAGCAATCTATAGTAAAAAGAGTTGCTTGATTTCAGAATGGTATGGTAAGTATTTTAGTCAAAGAAAATCATCTTTAATCATATATAAGTAAAGTTGTTCAGTGTATTTGTAAATATACATATATAAAATTTTACTATTATTAAATTAATAGTTGTAAATTTATACATATATTTTGTAATTATATTATCTCAAAAATTTTTTTATTCTTATTTTATCTGTATATTGATTTTAAAAAGCAATTTAAACATTTTGGTCAAAGAAAATCAATTTTAATTGCATAAGTAAAGTTATTTAGCATGTTCAAAATATATGTATATAAAATTTTATTATAATTGAATTAATAGTTATAAAGTTATAAATATTTTTCATAATTGTATTAGCAGTTACCTAACTTGCAAACATTTTATAACTTGTAATTTTAAAAATATTATTATATTAGTAATCTTTGAAAATTTTACTAAAATAATAAAATGTAAAAATATATCAATGTTTTTTATTTTATTTTAAACAAAATTACTAAATTGTTAATTTTATATTTATTATATTATTTTTATAAATGATCTGAAATTATATGATATACAAGTTAAGTTAGGTTAAAGGTATATTTAATTTAGATCAGTTTTATGTTTGATCTGATCTAGCTTTATTAGGTTAGGTCAAATTAATTACCAATTTGATCTGACCTATTTTGGAGTTCTAACTATTATAAAACTGAAGCATTAACTAATTATTATTTAAATTTTATAATAAAAGATAAGATGATTAGGAATATTCTTGTCTATATTAGCAATATAAGAAAAGCTTGTGAAAGAACTTGTATTCAGCCTAAAGGGTGCAATATTATTAAAAAACTAAAAAATATATATTATAATAAACTAACTGCTTCTAATTGTGACTAATGCTTATTATGTAACAGAGATTATTATGTTACCCAGTACTATGATAGATTACAGTTTAAAGCTCACTTCTTTGAAACTAATACTTTTGCAGAAGATAAGGCAACTGTTTAATAAAATTTTTCATTAGACTTTATATGCTATTTAGTAAGATAATTTATACAAAACCTGCTCTTAATTAAGAAAAAATTAGGATAATTCTGCAGACTTTTTTTAGATTTTTATAAAACATTAGAGTTTTTTTATTAGATTTATATGATTTAATATATTATTTTATAAGCTAAATGATGTATAGTCAGTTTCTGATATATTACTTTTTTTTGTTAATCATATATAATTCTCAGCAAGGCAGAATTGTTGATCAATATACTATTTATTGGGCTAATCTATCTTTAAAATAGTTTTTGTTATATTTTTTTTAATTAGATTTATCTTACAAAATGATATATTTTAAAGAAATTAATATAATATTTTGTTAGAATAATATGATAGATATGATACTTAAAAAGTTAACACACATAGAAATAAATCATAGCATATATAATTTTGTTAGATTTATGGTAAATAAAATTAGAATAGTTAGACTTATTTGTGAAATTTTCATTAGACTTTTAATAAAATATAATATTTAATGAGCTATTCTATATAGAGTTAATTCCTATTACATTATTTTTCATTAGATTAAAGTAATTATTAGACTTATTTATAGGGTAATAATGATTGTTAGACTTATTTATAAGGTAATAAGAACCATTAGACTTATTTCATTAGACTTATATAATAAATATAATAAATATGTAATTTAATGAGTTAAAGTATACAAAAATAGTTTCTGATATATTATTTTTATTAGACTTTTTAAATATAACAAAAAAGTCGATATAGAAATTAAGAAGCTGTAATCTTTAAAGCTTTTTTAATATAGTAAAAAAGTTGATATTATTTTTGATTATATTATCATATCAGTAGAAGTAATGGGACTTTATTTTAAGATTTCTATATTAACATTTTATAAAGTATATTTTTTTATAATTTGTATAAAAATAATAATCAAAATTATTTAACTATTTAATAAAAATATCTGATTTCATTTATACTTTAAAATTAATTTTATAAGTTACTGATAGTGATTGTCTTTTATAATGTAACATGTATTATCATATAGAATAATAAATTTATATTTTTTTTTTTTTTGGAAAAATATGTACTAATTTACACAAAATAAAATTTTATATGAATACTGTAAATTAAAGATAATATAATAATTATTTTAAATTTACAAACTGGTTATACTTAAGCTAAAATTAGTTATAATATATGTTGTAACATTATAAATTATAATATATATAGATTAAAACTATTACAATGTAATATTAAGTTATAATATATAATTACAAATCTTATCTTTAATGTAAATAGTTTGAATTACAAATAGTAGCTATATATTATAAACTAATGATGAGTTTTGAATTTATGTTTTAATTTTATATAATTTGAACAAGAAGATATCTTTAAAAATTTAGACCTAGGACCTAGGTCCTAGGATCAGGTCCTAAATTAAGTATATTTATAATCTTAAAAAATTATGTCTAAAACCTGTCTAAAACTGTTTAAATTTGTCTAATTATCCAATAATAAATAGTTATAAACAATTATACATAATAATCTTACATTATGATAATTGACATATAATTATGTATAATATCACATTTTAAAGTTTATTAATTTGGAATTTTATTGATCATGTTATTCAAGCTAAATAGCCTACTAAAGATATTAAAGAAGCAATTGTATATAGATATAATTAAAAAGGTATTATTTAAAGAAATAAGGGATTCAAATAATTAGAGCATTATAGTTGACAAAACAAATTCTATCACTAATGAAAAATATTTAACAATAGTATCATGACATATTTTCAAAATGTACTAAATTCACAATATTTAGGAATAATTGATTTAAATAAACTTGATGTAATAACTTTAAAATTAAAAATTTTTATTATTGCAAAAGAATTAGAAGTAAAAAATTTATTACATTTTGAAAGTGATGGAGTTATTATTTATTAAATGATTTCAAGAAATTAATCCTTTTATAACATCTGTTCATACATTGCGTATAAATTACATATAGCCAAAAAAGAAGCAGCAAAATATGTTTTATATTTCAACCATTATAAAATTTGCATTAAAAAATTATATGGTTATTTTATTATTTTTTTTTTTAAAAAAAAATAATTATAAATTTTCTTTTTTTGCCAACAGATTGTTAATTGATTTGCTTTTTATATTTGGTTGAAGTTTATTCAACTAAAAAGGTCTTAATAATTCGCACCAACATTCAATTGAACATTTACTTTTCCACATCTCATTAACTTAAATTAGATCTTTTATATTTAATTACTCCGAGTTTTTAACCGATTTCGTTTCTTATATGAATTGTAGATATTTCTGATGGAAAACAAATCTCGCCAAGAGGATTAGGAATTCTTGGCTTGATATTGAAGTCTTGCATCATTTTGTATCATAGTTTGAATGTAAGAAATGATTTAGATTCAGATTTTATTTATTTTAAAAAAAAGTGAACCATTCATTCATCTCAAACAAGAGATATTATATTTCACATAATATACAATATTTTTCGAGGGTTGTCATTGTTTAAAGTAATTCCTATGTGAGATTTAGCATACAAAGGATGAAAACCAACTTTTCTTGGTAAATTTCGGTTTCGAACAAGGGTTAAATTAAAGATGAAGCACATAAAAACAAGCATCATGTATGGTTCTATTTATGGATGTTATGATTAATTTCATATGAAAAGCTGTATTATAAATAACCACCCGTAAATGTTTTCGTGACACTGAAACAACGCAGCAAAATATGTATGTCTGCAAATCTTTCAAAAGTGAGAGCCTTTCCCTCAAATCATTCTCTGTTGGAATCCCAAACTTTTTGAAAACTTATCCCTTATAAAGTACGTGTGGTTATTGTTTGGAAAAAAAAAATCAGAGACTGCGGCACGAATTTTGTGACGCAGTAGAAAGGGCAATAAGAACGGCGATTCTGCCGAAAATATCATCTTTACACGCAATATTAAGTCATAGTGTAATTTCGTTTATACACGTAACGAACATTTGTTATAACTTTTAACATTTTCAAGATCACTGATCATGATGACATTTAAAAAATATTTTAAAAAGTTAAAAAGAGAGAAACTGGTTTTTAATTTAACAGATTACAAGATGATTTTCGGGTATGATCTATTGGTTCTTTGATAATGGATAGTACAGTATCGGTGCAGGAAACTAACCTATCGAGATTTTTTTTGTTTTTCTTTAAAAAATAGAATTCAAAATAATTGGTTAAAGAGAATGTGAACCCGAAAAATTGCAATTCTGGAATACAGCATTTTTTTTCTTTTCTCAGTTATTTAATTCATCAAAATTAATAAAGTTATGGTAATACAAATATATCAAACAAATCGTTGCGTTTGTGTAAATAATTATATCAAAAAAAAATAATAAGTTTGCTTTCTATCATTTTTTTAACTCTTCATTCCTAGTTTTTTTCTTTTTTTAGAAATATTTACGAATTTGCAAGATTCATTTTTTGCCCTTGAAATTTGAATGTGAGGCAGAAAAGAAATATCACTCCTTTATTTGTTTTTTTCCTCTCTTGTCCTCCATATACAATACATATTCTTCGTTTCAATGAATTTGAAGAATTTTCCATTTTACCCTCTCTTTACTTCAAGCTTAACTCTCCACAATCTTTTTCACCTTTGTTTTCATAAACTGTTGATAATCTTACCGCTTATCAAACGTACAAGACTTTCTTTCAAACCATCTTTATTTTTATTTATTATACTCAACATCTCACATCTCCAAAATTGACAAAAAAATTCACTTGATTTCCGCAATATTTCCTTTTTCATTCATCAACTCATATTTGTTTTTCTTTTTTCGATCATATTCAGTAATGACTTTTAATAAGGGAGAAACGCGTTTTATTAGATGGTTACTTTTGATCATTTGTTTATATTTATTAACAATAATTCATCAATCTGAAAGTTATAATGACCCAAAATTATTAAAATGTCGACGATTGTTTGATTCTCTACAATTTAAAAAAAGTTATAATTATAATAATAATAATAAATATCATTTGAAAGAAATTTATCGTCGTGCTCAACCTACTACTAATGAACAAAATGAAATTCCAAAGCAAGTAGAAGAAAATAAACTTGAAGAGATTAAAGAAGAACTGGATAAGAAACTCGAAGAGCAAAAAGAAGAACTCAAACTGGTGGAGAATAAGAAAGCCAAAGATCAAAAAGAAGAACACAAACAAGTGGAGAATAAGAAACCCGAAGAGCAAAAGGAAGAACCCAAAGAAGTGGAGGGTAAGAAACCCGAAGAGAAAAAAGAAGAATCCAAACAAGTAGAAGATAAGAAACTTGAAGAGGATAAAGAAGAATCCAAACAAGTGGAGGATAAGAAACCCGAAGAGAAAACGGAAAAATCCAAACAAGTGGAGGATAAGAAACTCGAAGAGAAAACGGAAAAATCCAAACAAATTGAGGATAAGGAACCTGAAAAAAATAAAAAAGAATCAAAACAAGATGAAGAAAAGAAACCTAAAGAGATCAAAGAAGTGAAAAAGAAACCTGAAGAGACCAAAGATGAACCAAAACGGAAAGAGGGAAAAATACTTGAAGAGAATAAAGAAGAATCAAAACAAGAAAAGTCAAAAAATCTTGAAGTGACCAAAGAAGTGCAAAAACAAAAGGAGGAAAAGAAGCCCGAAAAAACTGAGGAAGAAAAGAAACCCGAGACTAAAGAAGAACCAATACAGGTAAAAGTAAATAAGCCCCCAAAAAATGAAGAACCAAAACGGATAGAAGCTAAACTTAAACAATTTGGAGAAGAACAAGAGGAAGAAAAAAATCCTGAAGTAGAATCAAAACAAGAGGAGGATAAAAAGACCGAGAAGCCAAATCAAGAAGAACCAAAACAACCAAAACAGGTGGGAAAAAGACCAAAACTATCTGTAGATCCGAAAACTGAGTCTGAAAAACAACCTAAACAAATTGAAGAAGCTCCAAAACAAGAAGAGGAACAAAAACAACCTGAAAAGCCAGAAAAGGAGGAGAAAAAAGTTCCAAAACAAGTAAAACAACAATCCGAGGTAATTCCAAAACAAGTGGAAGAACCAAAAAAAACAGAAGTACCAAAACAAGAAGAAGAAAAAAAGCCTGAAAAGAACCCGGAGAAAATTGAAACAAAGGTAATTTTCAGCATAGTTGTTTTAAAATTATAATCAATATTATATCTAATCGAAAACTACAAAAATAAAGGAGAAGGAAAAGAAAAAAATAAATAGACCAATTCTCCCAAACATAATTGACAAGACTAAGGATGAACCAAAAGAAGTTACACCCGAAAAAACATCAAAAGACGTATTTATTCCACCATCTTCTATAACGATATCATTACCTCCTCCAAAACCAACAGTTATTTCAACAACCGTCTCAATAGCTTCTCCCGATTTGCCCAAAGAAATTGAGGTTTCTGAAGAAACGTTAGAAAAATCAGGTATACATCCGAAATAGTTCATTCATGTCTTTATACCAAACCAATTTTCTTTTTTAAATATTTTTTAATCAAAAGAAACAGAAATTGCTTTAAAATTGAATCAAATGAATTGGAAGGAAGTGATAGAAAACCCTACATTTGCCGCGCAAATTGTAAAATTTATGCCCAGAGATCTCGCTAATAGTATTGGGATATCAGAAAAAGATATCAAAACAATAAAATTAGAAAATTTTCCTGGCAATAATGGTATGTTCTTGAAATTGGCTATACCAAATGGATATGTAGATGAAGCGGTTCTAGTTATTAAAGATCCTACAAGTAAATTCTATACCGAGGGAACAATATTGAATCAATATGTGGGTCCAACTTATCCAATTCCCCAAAATATACATTCAGGTATAACATTTATTTTTAATTTTGTAAGGTCAATTACTTTACGATGTTTTTTTTTCTAATGAACGCGAACTTTTTTTTATATTATGCGTTTACATATCAAGAACAATCAATTTCAACAAATAGAGGAATTTTAATTGGAGCGTTGGTTGTAGGGTCCACACTTTTATATGCAAGCTTAACAGTGTTATATATACGATCTAAAAGAAAGAAGAAGCAACGACAGCTTCAAGAGCAACAAGAAGCTTATTTCTCAAAATTATCTGTTCCGATATATAATAATAGTTTATAATATCATTATAGGATATTAAATTTAAAAACATATAATATCATTGTTAATGCTCGCTTGGAACCTTTGTTCGACAAATACCAAGCCAAATCTACATTTGCGTTGAATGCTGTATTCTCAAACGGATTCAGCGCTACTTGAAGAGATGCCAAGATTTAAGTAATAGATAACTACATAATACATAATTCGGATTAAGCATATCGTCTATTGTATATATGAGTTACGTTTCACTGGGCTATAATTATCCAGTTATATTTTACATTTAATAGTGAAGCATTCATTATTGGACTATAAATGTTTGGATCACAGCGTTCGGGTTTTATAACAGATTAACCCATGTGAAATAAAATTTTCTTAACGAAAAATTTCAAAGAATCTTTGGTAAAACGCTCTTAGGGAATAATATCCAACAAATGGTTTATGAAACGACAACTAGTAATCAGAATTTACGACTAAATTGGAAACATTGTTTATATTCTTGTTTGATGATTTATTGATATGTATTAAAAAAAAATAAAAATAAAAATAAAAATTTTCAATTTTTAATAGGTGTAGTTTGTCCACGTGTACTTTTGTAAGTAAAATTTTTTTTCTTTTTTTTTATGTTGCTATAAAATTCGTTTATCTCTATGAAATGAATATTCTCTTTTAGGGAAGAAATATTACGGATTTTTATATTGCTTTGCTGGCCATTAGGTATTGTAAATATAAATTATTACACCCATTTATTGTATTTATTATTTTAGGGAAGTTATTTTGAAGATTATTGTGTTGTGCACTTGCCAAGCAGTAAACATTTGCTTTTACAAAATTTATATACAAACAAAATCTGAAAGAAAGAGCACGTAATTTATCTTTGTGAAATGATGAAGTGGCAAATTCTAATGTTGTCAAAAAGGTTATATCAACTAAAATTGAGGTACGGATCATATGATTTACTATGTCTCGTACCTCAATTTTAATAGCATACTACCAAAATGATTAATTTTTCGAATTGAGGAAATTCGCGGTTTATCAAATTTTGATCGACTTTTATACAGAGACGACTCCAACGGTATCACTATGCATGTCGATGTCTCACACAAGTCGTACCCTTTTCTGGTCTATCTTGCAAAAGAAAAAATTTCACAGTAAACAAAATACACAATTGATAAATTAATTTGTCTAATAAAAAAAAATGTCTTTAAATGTATAGAGGATCCGTTCGATAAAACTTGATGAAACAGTAACTTTCAAATTCACGATCCGAATGTATTTTGAAAGCTTTAATCTAATAAATTTCAGTGTTTGATATAAATAACCATACTCGTCACAATAGAAATTTTTTAATTAATTTAAATTTACCCATAAAAATAATTATTATCCAAAACTGCAAATTCATTTAAGCATTTGTCATACCTTCAGAAAATTTTGCTTTGTACTACAAAAAGTTTTTTTTTTTCACATTCTTAAAAAGTTAATTTAGTGAAACAAAGAAAAACAACAACAAAGACTATAAAATATCATGAGCTTCTTCAATCAACAAATGAATTTCAACATGTCCATCTGTAGTAAATTGCTGTTTAATGAAATTTGGAAAAAACTAAAAAAAGAATTAATTTCCTTTTTCAAACAAAGGTTTTTTGCCAATAAATTTGTTGATAAGATTAATGTTAAAGTAATTACCCAGAACGTTCTTGACAATGAGTAATCTTATAGATGAACAATATTCCTAAAGAATGAATCCATTTAAACATTGTTCATTTTCGTTATATGATTTACAAATATTTCGTACGACACAGTAAGGTAGTTCTAGAATCTTGTAATGCAAATAACAATTCGAACCGGGAAATCATTACCAATAAAAGAAAAGTTTTTTTTTTTAAATTGAACTGTCAAACATTTATTTTTTTGTGTAGAATAAACAATCTAAAGCCGAGCGTTACACTATGCATTTTAGCGCGTAAAATTTCATTTATCAAAATGGAAAAAAAAAACCGGAGTTTATGCGCGTAAGAAAGTTGCACATTGTAGATGAAATTGAAGCAAGAAATATGTTGAGTTAATTAATTTAATTAAAAAAAAAAAAAAAAAAAAAAAAAAAAAAAATTCTAAATATCTCCGAATTTTACTCCTGGGTTGAGCATACATTTCGACTTTATAAGATTGAAGGGTGTAGATTTTAGAAGTTCAATTCCAAGATGAAAAGAGTAAATAAGCGTTCTACCATTTTCTCGTAATTGTACGCTATATCGGAGTAAGCAATATCGGAGTTATCCTGAATTTGGTTTATAATGGGACCACGAAAATTTAATATAAAAGGACACCACCCCTACATTCAAAATAAACTTTTAGGTTTTTTAAAGAATACCTTTTGAAAATAAATTTTATAGACAAATTATATTCAAGATGTCTGCTTACCCACAAGCTCAACAAATGAATACTGCTCAATCTCGTAGTGGACAAAACGCTGTCGCAAAACAAGAATGGAAACACGGTTTATACGCATGTTTTGATGATTGTAGTCTATGTACATATTTGCTCCCTTTTTTTTTAGTTTTACTGCATAACTAGAAACTTTATTAAATAAAAATTTAAATAAAACAACATATGATTAGGTTGCTGTACGTGCCTTTTTCCATGTGTAACTTTTGTAAGTCTCGTCTTTTTTTTTTTTTCTTTTACAATAGTTGATGATTATCAACATAACATGAATTCATCTTCTATGCAGGGAAGAAATGCAGAAAAGTTGGGAGGGAATTGTTGTTGTAACGGAAGCATATACTTTTGCCTTGGGCTTCCATGGCTATTTGGATTCTTGAAACGTCAAGAGATTCGGAACAGCCAAAACATTGATGTAAGGAACAATCTAAATAAAATAATCGGTTATTATGATTTTTTTATAATTGATTAAAATTCTTACTATTATTATTTTTATTTTTATTAGGGAAGCTCCTGTGGAGATTGTTGCACACATTGTTTCTGTGGTCCTTGCGCTCTAATTCAAGAAGCACAACAACTCAAAGAAAACTAAAAATCCACTTTGAACAATTTTGATATCACGTGAACATTCTTAAAAAAACAATTATACAGAAGTTTTCAGAAATTTTATTTTAATTTTTTTTTTATAATTATTTAACAAAACAAAGTTTCGTGTGACAACGTTATATTTCTTACCCTTTTTTTATTAACAAAATTTAAAGTAGCCTCGCTGGATAATATGCGAGATTTGTATAGAGTAATATACCCCCCTGCATGAAAATCGATTACTACTTAATCGTGCATATCTATGTATTTGTATTTTGGTTCCCAAGAATTTCCTTCCAAGTAAAATAAAGTTTCGAACTCAATTATTTTTTAAAAAAAAACCTAACGAGAGTGTAAAATCTTGTGATTGCAGAATAAAAAAAAAACTCTATTTTACCTCCATAATCTTTTTTTCGTAAATCGATGAATTAATTATTTTTTTAAAAAACGAGAAAAAAAAAAACAAAAAATTACAATCAATTTCCTTTCGTATCATATTGATTTACTATGTTCCGTAAGGTGATTTTAATAGCCGATCACCCATATAAGGAATTTAATATCACACACTTCATTCACATTTGAATAATATCAGAAAATTTTTCATGATTCCAAAAAAGATAATCATTATGGAACAAACGAATTGGTTACCGATGCACGCCATTCAAGTGATTAAAAATGGAAATATCTTTTTTAAAAAAGAGATAACAATAGTAAAATGGTTGAATAATCAACAATATTTACCTCATGTACTTATTTATCATGATTGATAGAAAACTTTATAGTTATGCTTAAAAATTTGCGCTTGTTCTAAGGTTATGATTAAAAAGAAAAAAAGAAATAGCAAAAGAAAAAGGCAAAATTTTAATTAGGATAAAAGAAATGTTGATTATGCGCACAAAATACACAATGTATACGTCAAAAATTTTTCGGAATGCTTCTAAACCTCTTAAGTATAGTATAATAATAAAGGGTAGTGTAACTATTATTCCTTTTCATAGGTTGGTTTATTGGTCACATTCTTTTTTATTTCAATGATTGAACATTCAAATTCGTTATAAAAAGAAACGGGCTCATCGATTTCGAATTTGCTATAATAGCAAAAAAATTCCTCAATTTTTTTTTCCATTCATTTTTTATTTTTATTTTCATTGTATATTATTTTTATTATTATTATTTGTTTGAAATAATAAAATTAAAATGTCAAAGTCCACTACTCAAACTTTTACAACGCAACCATCTTCTAAAAGTAAATTTGCTACAAAAAGATTCTCGGATATTCGTCGAAAATTTCCAACTATACCTTCTCGAAAATCAAAGTTTATCATAAAATCTGATTCAGAAAAAGAAATCTCTCATAAGAAATATCATAATTCAAGCGTTTTGTTGTTGGTTCCAGATAATCATAATTCATCTCAAGAAAAACATCAAATATCATTCTCAGATTCACATGTCGAGCCATATAATAAGAATAAATTCGAAGAATTAGATTTCTTTGATGATTATGAAGAAACAATACAACAATATGTTCCTATCTTTAAAAGAAATAAAAATCAAATGACTAAGAAATTTTCAGATTATGAAGAACCAACAAATGAAATTAGAAAGAATCACAAACGTACATCTTTCAAGCTGGTAATAAAAAAATTCACAAGAGTCGGTCTATATAAGAAGAAGCGTGATAAGGAATATCAAGACGGAAAGACGAATCCTTTCGAATAGCTCCTTTGTTATTTATTATTAAGTTGGAATCTTTAATTATGATATACGGTTTTATCCCGTAAAATTTGTGTAATTTGATAAATTGTAAATTTTTTTTTTTTCTTGGTACTCGATTATAATACAAAAATAAAAAGATAGTTTTAATTTTTAGATAAATAAATATGTATAGCTTGCAAATCCGTAAATCTTGTGTGCATCACACTGATAGATGTGTGGTAATTTCTATTCTTGTGGTCAGGGGGGATTTCTTTTGTTTATTGTAAATTTTTTCTCATCATTTTACTCATTTTTTATAAATTTTTTCTTCATTAATAAAATCCGTGTTGCAAATTAATCCAGCGTAGCGAAGGACCATCGGCTAAATACTGTAATTCTACGCAGTTTAACAATTGAGTCGATACATGATTGTCTTTTTTCGTTACACCCAATGCATGTGCAAAGTGGCATCATTAGATAATTGAAAATTAATTTATTCCTGCGAAACGTCATTACAATGGAAAGGTGGGAAACTGCCGGGAAAATAAAGAGTACATCCCCTGAAAAACATAGACAGCTTCCCCCTTTCCTATAGAAAAAGTTTCATATAATTTATATAGAGTGTATAATTTGAGAATGCTGTCTTCACCGCTCTTTCTTCAGTGCGGTAAACGGGTTCACAAAAAATCCTTTCATTTTTCATCTAAAAAATTGAGTTAGGCGGCTGGTGTCAAGAAAACGATAACTCATTAATTCCTCCCTACTTTTACAATCGATTGTAAAAATTCTTAAGGGATGTTATCCCCTTAATTCGCATTCGTTGGAAGTTCACCACCCACTTTTGGAGTGAATTATCACCAAAATTGTTTCACACCACTCGTCTGACTATAAAAAAAAGAATTAGTATTATCCTTCACTCTGTGACCAAGGGATTCCATGTCCCAGTACAAGTGTAATACTTTCTCGTCAATGAAAATGAAATCAAGTCTATCGAGCCTCCACTGGAAGAATATCACTGCAACATGTTCATCTGAAGAAAAAATTTTCAACCCTTTGTGGACACTTCCATTTTTCAGTGTCAAAGTACAAAGTTTCTCTTTGAAAACATCTCGGGCCAAACACTTTTCTGTATCAGCATATGACCGAAAATTATCATGTAACGTTTACTTTGAAAGATATTTTCAATCAGAAAGTACGCGTTTTACCGATTTTTATCAATTCGAGTCCGAATATTATACATTATTGATATTGTATGCTTGGTATAAAGTAATTATTACTTGAATGATGTTAATTCGTTAAAAATTATCATTTTACATTAATTATTAGAAGATTTTGATGAAGGGAAACAAGTTTTATCAAGTTTTTACGTACAAACTATTTCATCAAGTTAGTTGTATAATTTTATTGAGTTACATAGATGATATTGCCCAATCTTTATAATTTTTATTCCGATAAGTCCGCGAAAAATCCTGACTTTCTGTAAGGATGTTACACATTCATCACCTTTAGATCCGGTCGATTAGCAAAAAAACCAAATCGAGCGTATCGGTGTTCAACATAACATAATTGGATCCCTGGAAGATTAGGTCGTGTCTTTATAAATTTCGTCCTTGATATGTTTGTTATAAAACCTTTTATGTTGCAATTAAATAACATATAAAATACTAATTTAATAACTGAATAATTAATATAACACAAAACACAAATAATAATGAGGTATTTTGTTTCAAATATTTCTGCACGTGGAAGCCGAATATATTTTTAGAACCCATGATCAACTCACAATATGGTTTAAATATGGTTACGAATAAAGTTTGGAAAAAAAAATGCCAAGCAGTTTCACCATTTTCGGAAATTACTCTATCAGATATTCAAATTCTGATGATTAAAATGATGATCATCTTTTAGTGGGGTATAATTTAGAAATTACAATATTATCAAAACCTGATTTTTTCATGTTTCGAACAATTACTTTTTCCATTCTTTTTCTTCTTTTTGTTGAAATCTTTTTTTTTAAAAAAAAAGCGAACAAAAATACAAAATTAAATTTGTGCGTTATCAGTTTTTGTAATTGGGTTGAGCTGAATGTATATAACTATTGCACAACATTAGTGAATACTTCAACAATGTAATATTTATTTTATTTGTTATTCGTATTACAAACCAAGAATATCCGCAGAAGGCATTTAAATGTTCTATCTTTACCGATTAAGTTTCCATTTAAAGAAATTCAATGGCACGTGAAGCATTGATAAATTAAATTTGATTTACATTTATCGATATATTCTAAGATTCTTAATGTAACAAATTATTTTGATATATATATTTAATTTAACCATATTTTTAATTTTTTTTTTTTTTCAACGTTTCTCATTCCCACACAATTTTAAAGGTTCCGACAAAAATATTTCATCTATTAAAATAAAAAATGGCAGAAAGTGAGCCCCATACGCCTCAATTTGATGATGGAGACATAGCATGGATGTTAGCTTCAACTTGTCTTGTTTGGCTCATGGTAATTTCTGCCTTTTTAATTATGTACTTTAACTAGGAAAATCGTGTTCAGAAAACATTTTTTGACTAAAATTAAGAACCTATTGCATTTAATCTATCATTATAAAAAACAAAAATGTAATAAATTATCAATGTTTTTAACAAATTTCCTGAACATAATTTTTTGTCCCAAATTTTAAATTAATTATGATTTATTATGCTGATACATCAAACAAATTTTCAACCTTAGGTGCCCGGCGTAGGATATTTCTATAGTGGAATGGCGAGAAGCAAGAATGCACTATCTTTAATAATGTTATGTTTCTTGTCCGTGCCCGTCGTTTCAATACAGGTAGGATCTCGAAATAAAAAAATATGAATTTTCTTTTACTCACGGAGCTTATCGGATTTCGCTATCGGATAGCTTATCTCCGTGGCGCAGAATTTCCTTTTGAAGGTAACCTAAATTTGTATTTCATTTTTAGTGGTTTATATGGGGATACAGTCTTTCATTTAGTAGGACAGGAGGTCCATTCATAGGAAATCTTCGGAATGCATTCTTCATTAAAGTCAGAGGGGATCCGACTTTAATGGTTGAGTCGGTTCCGGAGATCGTTCACGCCATATATCAGTGCATGTTCGCGGCAATTACGCCGGCGTTGGCTATTGGCGCTGCAGCGGAGCGAGCTCGTTTGGGTCCTATGCTCATATTCATTTTCATTTGGACGACATTGGTCTATGATGTAATTGCTTGCTGGATTTGGTCGGCGAACGGATGGTTTAAAGCGATAGGAGGTATTGATTTCGCTGGAGGAACTCCCGTACACATTGCATCAGGTGCTGCTGCTCTCGCTTATTGCATGATCATTGGGAAACGTCATGGACATGGGAGGGATGAATTTAAACCTCATAATATCGTAAATATCATCCTTGGGACCACGTTAATGTGGTTTGGATGGTTTGGATTTAATGGTGGTTCCGCATTCGGAGCAAATGTTCGAGCTGCCATGGCCATTATGGTAACAAATTTGGCTGCTTCTTTTGGAGGCCTTACATGGATGCTAATGGATTATCGATTAGAAAAAAAAATCTCTGCTTTAGGATTTTGGTAAAGCAAACATTTTTTTGTAGTTGTTGAAACTGGCATGATAAAGAAATTGAATTGAACTAATTCAAACGTGTTAAAATTTTATGTAGCTCTGGCGCGGTCGCGGGATTGGTTTGCGTGACACCAGCGAGTGGATACATCACACCACCTATTTCTGTGATTTTTGGAATTCTTGGAGGAGCTATGTGTAATTTATCTGTTAAATTAAAACATCTTATGGATTTTGATGATGCTTTGGATGTTTTCGCCGTTCACGGAATTGGAGGCATTTGTGGAAATATTCTTCTCGGTGAATATTAAATTTTTAGCCTTTACTCGTATTAAAAAAAAAATTGTATTTTTGCTTTGCATTAACTTGTCAAATCGTTTTGATTCCAGGTATCTTTGCTGATAAAGAAATTGCGGCTCTTGGTGGGGAAAAGATTCAAGGGGGATTTATAGACGGGCATTATGTTCAATTAGCATATCAATTAGCTTCTTCTGTTGCTGGTCTTGCTTATTCTTTTGTCGTAACCGCTATAATTTTATACGTACTTGACAAAATCCCCTTGTTGAGATTAAGGATGGATCCTGAAGCAGAAGAACTTGGTACTGACGAATCTGAATTAGGCGAATCTGCTTACTATTATCTTGATAGAGTGGTGAATTCTATTCAATTACAAATCCAATCCAAAACAATAATGTCTTCTCCTGCTCAAATTGCACAGATAAATGATTCTGCGAATCATTTGGTTCATTTAAATCGTTCTTAAAAAAAAATTGATTTGGTTTTTTTTTTTTTTTTTTTTTTTTTTTTTTATAACTCCTTAATTGTATATTAAATCATAAGTATGTACAAATAATTCAAGATATTGATAATAATAATAATTTTAAATTTGTTTTCTTTTCTTTTAATAAAGTATTTAGTATCTATTAGCATAATAATATGGGGCCTTTTCAATAGAAAGGGGGGAAACTGCCGGGAAAAATCAATTTTACTTTTATATGCCAAATATGATTTTTAGGCTGAAATATGTTCAAATTTAGCATTAACTCATTTTTGATTTTTCCGGTAGTTTCCCCCCTTTCTATTGCAAAGACCCCATATATAGTATAATACGACTGTTCAAGAAAATCTTGCTGCGGTTTCCTTTCAAAGGCTTATTTATTATAAATAAAGGCTTAGAAAGCACAGCCAATTATCACCCGAAGATCAAAATAAATTTTCTGATCTCTGAAGGGCTTGGTAGATTGGTAAATTAGGGTATGATCAGATCACCTTTTTTTTATGTCGACGCGCCACGAATTAATAAATGGCTTTGATTCAAAACATAAATTTTTTTCATCGAACGACCCGAATTTAAGGTTTCGTGGCTTGGATAAGTTTGTTGTGGCTTTGATTTTGGAATCAAAATACATTGTTTTTGAAAAGGAAATTATTTATTATGCACTTAATCGTAAAGGTGAAGCGTTGAAATTCGGGAATCATGTTTTATGGTTCCAACCATCTCATACGCGCGTTATTTTTGCGTTAAAAAGCCACAAGCAAAAAAAAAATTCCTTTTCTTTAAAAATACATCAAGATATTTTTTTTTAAAAAAAAACCCAGTGTTTGTGAAAACAAATATTTTACCTGTTTCAATTAAATTCGTTCCTCTCATCCCACTTTTGGAAAAATAAAGATTACAATTTTCAAAATGAATTTCAAACCGTCATCAATATTCACATTATTCTTTCTTATTTGTCTTATAACAATCACCACTTCCTTGCCTGATTGTAGAGAGAGTTTAAAAAACATTATTGTAACATCCCCAACACCAGAAGAAACTATTCCAAATGAAGGTTCAATTAAGATTTCATACGAAACTACTCAACCAAAAAAGGATGAAATCATTTCCCTTCACGTACTTTTGCTCGATGATAATAAATTCAAGCTTTATGAAATCGTACCAGACCAGAATTTAGACGGGAAATCTTACGAAAACTCCGTTCCCTGGCAACGTATTAAAGATAATTCAACCGTTTATATTCGTAAGTATAATCATGTTCTTTTGATTGTACGAAACAATTGAAGCAGGATTTTCTCATCAATTTTTAAATTTTTTTTTCTTTGAAACTTAGGATTCTTTGAAAACTATCTTTCGGGTAATTATATAATCTTTATTCTGTATTTATTTATTTTTTTAAAAAAAAAAGAGATGGCTAACATGTTAATTCTGCGCGAACAGCTGATCAACATGTCAGTCGAATTACCTGCGACATAAAACTTCATGTTGGTTCTTAAAGAAAAAGAAGTTTTTATTTTTTATTTTAAAATATTGTATCATAAAATTATAAATGCGGTTTCCTTTACTTTTATTATAAATATGTTCTAGCAATAAAAATTTTCTAAATAAATAAATCAACCAATTGGGTTATTGGGTTGGTTCAACGATACAATTATATTCGGCGATTTCTGATTTGTTTGTTCGATGGCGCAGCAATTCGCTTTAAGCGACTTATTCGATTCTAGCAAATTTATTTAGTTGAATAATTAAATTTAAAGTTCAAAGCCTAAAAGTTAAATGACATAAAAAATTTGTTGACAAATAAAACGCCAAATAATCCTTTGTTGGTTAGATCATGAAATCACGCAGTGACCATTCATTATCCCCTTTGTCGATTCACTTATTTGTAGGAATCTGTCAAAAACAAAAAAAACTACGGCGTGATGTTTCACGGGATTTCATTCGGTGATATCCGGAATCATTATACAAGCGCAGTAAAAAAAAATTACATAAATAAAATGTCATTGACCATATCAGTATATAAAAGCCACCAAACAATATAAATTCAGTTTTGAGCAATAATTTTCTTTTTTTTTTTTTTTTTTTTTTTCTCTTTTCATCAATTTTTTCTACCGTTTTAAAACTTTGTATTATACCTACGAGAAAAAGTTATTTTTTTTTTATCTTCCAAGTTTCCATTTGAAACTTCCTCAAAATACACATTTTTTTTTGTTCCTATTCCCTTTTTTCAATTTCTTATGCAGAATACTTCGTCACAAGGCAATAAGTTAGTGAATAAACAAATTGTGGAAGAAATATATTCAAGAATTCAACATACGATAAATCCTATTGACGCCAGTGATCGTGTACTTGTCGCAATAATAAAAGCGTTAATTTCTTTAAATAATGAGCCATCAAGCCCAAGACAACTTGCGGATTGTATACAGAATTATGATTTTACACAGTTAGGGTAAGTTTCACTAATAATCATGTGTTGATCGACGTCTTTTTTTTTTTAAAAAAAAAAAGATTACTTAGATTGATTATTATTCAATTTTAAATTTAGTGGGCAGACTCCGTTTGCCACTGTATCGGGCCACATATCAACTCATTTCTCTCGTGTTCGTCAACGAGTAATTCCAAAGCCAATAATAGGGAAGCAACCTCATCCGACGATCACAAAGAGATCATTATATTATTTTCTTGATCCGGATGACGTTTTACAAGAATTACTTTCAGAGAACTTTCCAACTCAAACGCCAACACCGGATTCACCAACCACAAATGAATCAACCATAAGTGAGGATCAAAGTTACGCTAATACCCCAACGACGCCGTCATCCTCTGTAGTGGATATCAAAGAGGTGGTGGATGTCGACCATATAGATCGAAACGGTGAATCTATCAGTGATACCGAAAATCAATATCCTCATCAAAAAATTTTCCAGAATACCCGAACAAAGGCTCCGACAATTGAACCTGCTGCTGCGCCTCATGGCATTACAAGTGACACGAAGGACAAGAAGAAGGGGTCATACGATACAGGGGAGAGGAACGGTGTGATACAACCCTTATCCCTTAATTATTTGCCCCCTATTCCACGTAATCCTGAATCACCGAGGATTTCATTAACCCCTGACATACATATAATGAGAATGAATGGGTTGGAAGTTTTTACGACAAGAATAAATGGGTCTGTGTTGTTGCGCAGAGTTGATAACAGTTATGTTGACAAATATTCATTATTAGAAACTGGTGGACGACGAGCGAGAAACAGTGATCGAAGATGGTACGTTTTTGAACTAAAAAATAAATTTTTTTTTTAATTGTTAAAGTGAAAATCAAAGATTAATAAATAATTTCTTGCTGTTTCATAGGATTTCATTGGAGGAAGCACAGATATTGGCATCGGAGTTAAATATAGAGCAAAATCTTGGCATGTTTCTTTATGAAAGATTGTTCGATTATTTCGATGTTGATTTGGATTATGCTACAACGTCTAACGGTTGTTGCGCAGGTTTCGCGTATTTGTTTCAATGCGTTAATCCCAAAAAAATTTTTCTTGAATGAATGATTTAACGATACAGAGGAAATGATAATTTCATACCTTTTTTTTTATTTGATTAAGTGAATAATATATGTATATGTATAACGTTATTTTATTTTTAAATGCAATTCATTGCAATGTAAAAAAGGACTCTTTCTTTGTCAAAAAAAAAAAAAAAAAAAAAAATTACACATGGAGAACATTAATAATTATAGTAAATAGTAAATAAAAATATCAACGTAAATAATTTAGAAATATATATAATATATATAAATATATATAAAATCTTTTATTAGCAAATTTTTTAATAAAAAAAAATCGGGGTCAGGTCAACCTCAAAATTTTGATTTTTCTATTTCTATTCTTTTTTGATGTTTTAAAGTATAGTGAATTATTGTTATATTGGAACTTTTGCCATGGGAAAGATTTCCAAAAAGTGAAATTCGGTGCCAAAGTTCAAAATTGGATTGTAACTCATTCATAATTTAGACTTTATTCAAAATTTGACAGCAATAATGTGTAATTACAAAAAATTGCCATATTTACTTATATCATAGATGTAAACATAAATATTAAGTACAATTTATTTAATATGGAATTACTCGATAAAGTAAAGGCGATCGTCTACATCTCATGTTTTTCATATACAACGTCAGAATTTAATAACCGTTTTAAAAAATTGGTTAACGGATCTTATATCTATCATGACAATCATTTACAATAAAAAAAGGACTTTTTATTCAAAAAACAAAGTCCCGATTTTTTTGAACAATATTAAAATCAAGTTGAATCATAAAATCAAATAAAGATCGATCGTTTTTTTTTTAATTCACGATGTGATAAAAATCGGTTAATATTTTGTCTTAACCCGATCTTGACAAATGATAGATCTCAATAAGCTGTATGAGAGATTTTTTACACGTCTTTCAACAAAAGACCTTTTCTACATTTATGATGGGGTATTTTTTCTTATTCGTAATCAATGAAAATTTCCATCTAAAGGAATATCATAACATCGAATGATTAAACTAGATTAAAAAGAGATTCACGAGTTTTTTTTGGAGAATGTTATATAAACCCTCGTTTTCCCCCCTTTTCAAGAATCTTCACTTCGATCTGAATCAAAAGGATCAAAGGAAAGAAAATAAAAAAATAAAATAACAAAAAAGTACTTACTTAATACATAAAAAAAAAATTAAATCTTCAAAAAATCAAAAATGAAGTTGAATAAAGTTATTTTGCTCTTGATCGCTTTAGGTGCTTTCAACATTAAAGAAGGTAAAAAATAAAAATAAAAAAGATATAAAAAAAGCTTGAATTCAAAAAAAAAATAAAAAAAAAATTCATTTTCTACATTTTCTAGCCAATTCTGCTCCTATTGCCGAGGCTTCTGAATATTACGGGGGGTACAGTGACGAGTATGGCTATTCCATGGACAAGCATCATGATAAGGACTACTATGACGGGTATGGTGATTCCAAGGACAACCATCATGATAAGAACTACAAGCGCACGTATAGCGAGTACAATGACAAGGACAAGCATCATGATAAGAACTACAAGCGCACGTATAGCGAGTACAATGACAAGGACAAGCATCATGATAAGGACTACTATGACGGGTATGGTGATTCCAAGGACAACCATCATGATAAGAACTACAAGC